ACAGACGTTATATATAAGAATCTACATGTTTTGTTCACCACAACTGTACAACTAAGCTGATATAATTAGTTCAGGCACGAAGAGTCGTCGCTACACACACAGTTAGCTGGCGGCTCCCCTCACTCATTCAAGGTCACTCGCACTAAACTTTCTCCCCCAACAATACTGTTTGTGGTGTTATTACACTATATACAGACGTTATCTATAAGTATGTATATGTTTTGTTCACCACAACTGTACAACTAAGCTGATATAATTAGTTGTGGCACTAAGAGTCGTCACTATACACACAGTCAGCTGGCGGCTCCCTCACTCATTCAAGGTCATACACACTAAACTTTTACCCCAACAATACTGTTTGCAGTGTTATTATACTATATACACATATTATATACAAGTATCTACATGTTGTATGTACCGTAACTGTACACCTAAGCTTGTAAAGTGCCCAAAGAGCACAGTGGCCACCCTCTACACAGCCAGACAAATCATACAGACAACGTCACCTCCGTCACCCAAATGGTTCCTCCCAGCATAATCCTTTTGCTGTTATTACACACATTATATATAAGTATCTACATTTGTGTTCACCATATAGAACCACTGAGCTGGTATGGTGAATGCAGACAATAACAGGTGACCACACAGTCAGTAAACGATGCAATCTCCCTCCATCCCTCAGCATCACTCCTCCCACAGTGCTAATTATTACAACAATCCTGCTATTATCACAACCCTGGTTATTTTTATCACAGTCAGGGGTCATCTGTAATATTGTCATCACTAAATAATAGCAATTATATATTTATTTTGACATTTTTCGGCGATGCTGTGGTCACAAGCTGAACAGCAATGCTGTTCGCTCATGCTGCGTGCGCCAGCCTTGGTTGCTCCAACAGTACTGTGGCTCTCACACCTAAGAATATTGCCCATGATTTAAAAAAAAAAATGGCATCCGTTTACAAGAGCCCAGAGGAAGCTAATGTGAACCCGTGTAGCCACGGGCCATTTGAATCTTGCCTGGCACCCTATGGCGTATATATACGCCATGCACACTGTGGGACATGTTACTCATGGCGTATATATACGCCATGCGCAGTTTAAGGGTTAAAGGTCAAGCTGAATGCTCCAATATTCCGAGTCTATTTTTTTTTTCAACTCCACCGCCCATCCCCCCCCATCTCGTGTGTTGGCAAAGTCATGCTGGCCCTGTCTTTGGACTCTGAGTGGGTCCTGGCTATCACTTCTGCTTCTCCATTTTCTTCACTCTTGTTTCCTGAGATTGTGGTTTTTCAGTTTTTGTCGGCTGCGGCTGTTGCTTGCTGGTCTATGGATAACTTGTTGTGTTTTCATGGGGGTTGGTCTTGTCTTGGTGGTTTGGTCAAGCCGAAGCCTTGCTCACTGGAAGTAGAGGTGGGTCCTCTGTGGTGCCAGCTGTCAGGTCGAATGTATGCCCTCTGGCTTCGTCTGGCTGGTTCTGTGTTCGCTCTGCTCAGAAGGCTGGGTCTTGAGGTTTGCTCTAGCCCTTTCATGAATTGCACCCTTGACAGAGCAGTGGAGGGCAGGCTGGCTCGGTTTCCTATTCTTAGTCTTGCGATTTGTGGGCTTTTCAGGCCGTTTGTTGTGGCTTGCAGTTGAGTTGGTCTTTCCCAGCCTACTTCAGGGCTTTCAGGACCGGCCCCCCCCTCTCCTTGCTTTTGTTAGGTCATCTCAGTGAGTAGCTTTGAGTTTGGTCGAAACAACTTCATCTCTTTGGTGGGTTTCCTGCCTTTCTGATCCTGAAACAGGTTTCTTTGGATCTCCGGTTCATTCTCCACCTGTCTGGGTTGAACCGATTCCTCCCATGTCCCTTTTTTCGGATGACTACTTTGTCACAGGTCCGCCTCGTTCTTGTGCTGGATGCTTGGATGAGCTCTCTGGACCTCCAGGATGTGTATTGGCATGTTCTTATTGATCTGGCATTTGGGGATTGATAGGTTCTGTTATGGAGAGGCAGGTTTTCACTTTTAGGTTTTTCCTTTTGGGGCTGAATCTGGCACCTTGCGTATTTTGTGTGTGTAATTCGGGTTGTGGTTGCCCATCTTAAGCTGTTGGGTGTTGGCTTACCTTAACGCTGGCTGGTGTGGGCTGCAGCCAGTATACTTCTAACCTGTGATCTGTTTTTTTCCCATCTTGCCAGGTTTGGATTCCTAGTGAACTGATAGAATTCCCAGTTGATTCCATCCCTGGTTTAGACCTGGTTGGACCTAGTTTCGGATTCTCAGTTGGCATTGCTTTCCCTGCCTCTTGCGGCCTTGCTCTGCCGCAGTCTTTTGGTGTTGAAGGGGAAGTTGAGTGACTTGGCAGTGGCTTGAGCAGTTGTGCGGGAGTCTGAACTGTCCTCTTCAGGTTTTTCCTTTGGGCCGGGTTTGGCTTTGGGGGTTGTTCTGATTCTTCGGGGCTGCCCCTTTCGCTTTTTGTGATTGCTGGGTGCAGACTCTGGGGCTTTACACTGGCTGCTGCATTACCAGTTTCCTCTTCTTGGTTTTTGGGGTTTATTTCCATGGTGTCTTCCTCTGCCCTTGCATTACTTACCCTTGGACGCCTCGGCTGTTAGTTGGGGTGTTGAGACCACCCTCACCAGTTCGGCCAGGAATGTTGGCCTCCTTTGTGGAGCACACAGTATGGTTTGGGGGTTTGCGGCCATGTGGCAGATGCTGTGGAAAATTTGGATTTCTCTGGGCTTTGTGATCTAGGTCCATTCAGTCTGTTCCCCATGGTTCATTATCTCAACAGGGGGAAGGGAAAGGTCTCTTCTGTTCCTGTCTCTTTGGAGCTGGTCACTTCGAGTTCTGAGTTACACTCAGGTGGGTCACTTAAAGGTGTCCCACCTGCGGTCCTCCCCGGAACCATTTCTTTGGTTTGTGTTTCTTCCGCAATTGTGTCCCTATGTCGTTGCATCTTGGTTCTGATAGGATGTTCTGTCCTTTCTTGGCCTTCCTTTGCTCAGCATCTTCTGTTGTATGCTGTTGCCTCCTCTCGTCTTGCGGTGTTGGCAAAGGTGCTCCGGCTTGAATTTGGGGTATTTCTTTTCAGCCCTGTTTCACATTTCTCACTCATTGTTTCATCTCCAACCTGATCCTTTGTCTCCTGACGCTGCCTGCTCCCTTGTCCAGGTTCCGTCTTTTCTTTTGTCAACTCCATTTTCGGTGGCCCCTTTGGTCCTGGTTTGTATTGGCAAACGTTCTTTTGTTTAACTGTGGGGAAACGTTGCAGGTACAGATGGGGAAGAAGAAATGCCCAAGACTGGACTACAATTTGTCATCAGGCACACACATACTATACCCCCCAACTCCACAGAACTACCACACTCCCCAGCATCAGTACCACTACCAAAACTGGACTAACCATTGACTAAAAAGCACACACTGGATCAGGGCGGAGAGGGGGAGAGAACTACCAAAACCCACCAGAAGTGACATGCAATATGAAAAATCATTCATTATTGCAAACATACAAAGCCTAAAATCAAAAGCAAGAAATAAAAACCACTACATGGATGTGTGTAGATGTCCACATAGTGGTCATATGCAGGGCCCACGTAGTGGTCATCTGCAGGGCCCACGTAGTGGTCATCTGCAGGGCCCACGTAGTGGTCATCTGCAGGGCCCACGTAGTGGTCATCTGCAGGACCCACGTAGTGGTCATCTGCAGGGCCCACGTAGTGGTCATCTGCAGGACCCACGTAGTGGTCATCTGCAGGACCCACGTAGTGGTCATCTGCAGGACCCACGTAGTGGTCATCTGCAGGACCCACGTAGTGGTCATCTGCAGGACCCACGTAGTGGTCATCTGCAGGGCCCACGTAGTGGTCATCTGCAGGACCCACGTAGTGGTCATCTGCAGGACCCACGTAGTGGTCATCTGCAGGACCCACGTAGTGGTCATCTGCAGGACCCACGTAGTGGTCATCTGCAGGACCCACGTAGTGGTCATCTGCAGGGCCCACGTAGTGGTCATCTGCAGGACCCACGTAGTGGTCATCTGCAGGACCCACGTAGTGGTCATCTGCAGGACCCACGTAGTGGTCATCTGCAGGGCCCACGTAGTGGTCATCTGCAGGGCCCACGTAGTGGTCATCTGCAGGACCCACGTAGTGGTCATCTGCAGGACCCACGTAGTGGTCATCTGCAGGACCCACGTAGTGGTCATCTGCAGGGCCCACGTAGTGGTCATCTGCAGGACCCACGTAGTGGTCATCTGCAGGACCCACGTAGTGGTCATCTGCAGGACCCACGTAGTGGTCATCTGCAGGACCCACGTAGTGGTCATCTGCAGGACCCACGTAGTGGTCATCTGCAGGACCCACGTAGTGGTCATCTGCAGGGCCCACGTAGTGGTCATCTGCAGGGCCCACGTAGTGGTCATCTGCAGGGCCCACGTAGTGGTCATCTGCAGGACCCACGTAGTGGTCATCTGCAGGACCCACGTAGTGGTCATCTGCAGGACCCACGTAGTGGTCATCTGCAGGACCCACGTAGTGGTCATCTGCAGGGCCCACGTAGTGGTCATCTGCAGGGCCCACGTAGTGGTCATCTGCAGGGCCCACGTAGTGGTCATCTGCAGGGCCCACGTAGTGGTCATCTGCAGGGCCCACGTAGTGGTCATCTGCAGGGCCCACGTAGTGGTCATCTGCAGGACCCACGTAGTGGTCATCTGCAGGACCCACGTAGTGGTCATCTGCAGGACCCACGTAGTGGTCATCTGCAGGACCCACGTAGTGGTCATCTGCAGGACCCACGTAGTGGTCATCTGCAAGACCCACGTAGTGGTCATCTGCAGGACCCACGTAGTGGTCATCTGCAGGACCCACGTAGTGGTCATCTGCAGGACCCACGTAGTGGTCATCTGCAGGACCCACGTAGTGGTCATCTGCAGGACCCACGTAGTGGTCATCTGCAGGACCCATGTAGTGGTCATGCACAGTGTGTATGGAATGGTAATTGATGTCTATGCCACAGAGGACAAGCTGTGTTCCACCGGTACTTCCTGAGTGTGTTCGTGAGCAATCTGGTTAGTCTGCTGAGCATACTCACAGTGAATAGCATCCTGAAGGTGCTAATATTTACCAGGCGCTCCTCTACTCCTGAGGCCACCTTCAAGAGGTACCTGGGTACCTTAAACCATGTTAGGAGATGGTATTCTGGTGATATCTTCGACCCACAGTCAAGGTCAGTTGACATAACAGGTGATTTTATGTTAAAGTTATGAATGAACAATAAAATGGTTTTTATCTTTGCAGTTATGTATATTAAGTTTTCTAGGGGGAGCTCCTACAGCTTCCTGGAGCTATGCAGGCTGATCAGGATAGTCCTAACTTTTGGCATTAGTCGATGTGGGTGGAGTTCTAGGTCAACTGAGGACCACGCGCCAGAACCTGGCCCCCCTCAGAGAGGCACGAGAAGCAATGGCCTATAGAATGCACATGTGATTTTGGAGCATTCTATATCTGCCCTCGACCGGGACAGGCACCCAGAAAGATGAGCACCCCAAAACAAACCCTTATTCTGGTGAAAACGACGAAAATAGACAAATGAGTTGACGGACCTCCCCAAATGAAAACGAGCAAACAAGCATGACGTCTCATGAGCTGCACCGCACGTTTGCATAGCTCCCCTGTCCCTAAGAGGGGAAAGGGAGAGCCCCAGACCCCTGCACAGCCGATCCACACCCCAGTTTTCTGGGGGGAGCCCCGTCGGCTCCCCGGAGCTATCCAGGCTGAATGGATATGTATAACTTTCTGGCATCAGTCAAAGTGCTAGGAGTTCTTGCTTACCGGGGACCACGAGCCAGAACCTGGCCCCCCTCAGAGGCACGAGGAGCAATGGCCTATAGAAACCCCCTTGTGGTTGGGAGCATTCTATGTCTGCCATCGACCGGGATAGGCACCCAGAAAGGTAGGCATCCCAAAACAAACCCCTATTCTGGTGAAAATATTGCTACCGAAAGCCGAACAAGTGGACAGAACTCCCCAAACAAAATGATCAAACTAGCATCACGTCGCTGCGCCACTGCCTGGGCACCCCCCCCCCTCCCCGGGAGGAGGAAGGGGCAGCCTAAGACCCTGCACGCCGGTGATCCAACTGGCAGTTCTTGGCTGATGGAATTACTGGCCGGTCGAGTGCTTCTGGCTCCGGTTTTTGTTTGTTCTGTGCCTTGTGGTGTGAACTGTCTCTACCGGTGGGGTGAGCCAGGCGTGAGATTCCACAGTACTCGGGCTGCATGTGCCTAGGACTCTCTTCACTAGCTGCCTTGTAAGTACTGCCCTTGGGGCTTGGGGCCACCTTCCACAAGTCACCTTGGGTACTACCTCCGCTGTGTCCTTTACTGCTTCCTTAGTGTTCGTATGGCTGCCCCGGCTTTTCCTTGTCAAGCTGGGGCTTTAGGGATGCGGCTCGGGCCAGGGTCTTGCCATCGAGGTTCCCGGGGTTGGGGAGGGGTTGCCTGGGGCCTGTTTGCCCCCTTGGGTCTTTGTACCCTTGGTGAGTGGCTGGCAGTTCCTCAGAGTGGGGTTGTTCCTTCCCCTCTGTATTCCCATTGGTTTGGGTATACCCCTCCCTGGGTTCGGTCCCGTCGTTCCTGGGGGTGTGTTTCGCCCTCTTTTCCTTAACCTTTTCGCTCTTACGTCGCGATACTGTTCCCTTTGTATCGGGATCCCTGCGTGTCTTTTGATGAGGGGTTTATATTTGTCCATATGTACCTCCATGCGTATGTGCTTGCTTGTCGTGGTTCTCGTTGGTTCGTGCATCTCTTCATACCTTCCATTATTATTGGAAGTCTGTTGATTTCCGATGTGGTTTTCCTCTGGTCTTTTGTTGGCCTCGTTGGTTACCTTCTGTCCTCTGTCTTCTTTTGCTTCATTTTCGCCTTGTTTTGTTTTCGCGTCGTCTCTACTTCCAGTTTTGGAGTTCTTCGTCTTCGTTACGTACGCCTTCCTGGTGTTTGTACGATGTGCGTATACGATGTGTCTGTATGTTATGTGTGTGTATGATGTGTGTGTCCGCCTGGTGTACGAGCCACGCCACCCTGTGGACAGGTGGTGCATTTCATACCTCGTGCGCTGGGTGTGCGTTTTGTTTATGGGCGGTATGCTCATGTGTTCGCGTCGTTTCTCACGGTTTTCTACGGCTTCTTGCTCATTTCCTCCTTCCAGTCCTAGCCCTCTGGATGCTGAGGGTGTTCTGGATTTTATATCTGGGGGGGGGGGGTCACTTTGTTCTTCCTCTGCTTCCGGGTGTGGAATGGCTCTGTGTGGCACCTCCTCCTCTCCCTCTGTACTGCTGCTTGTCGTCTGCAGGGCACGCGCCTTTGGACGTATTTCTCTTTCCGAATTTTATTCAGGTAACGGCACATGCAATGCCTACTGCCTCTAGTATGCCTGGCATTCGAGCGCACCACTAGTGATGCTCCTGGTATGTTACTTGGCTCGCCTGTGTTGTGGCATGGTAGTGTCTCTGCTCTGCAGGTGAGATTGTCGTGCCTGGCGCCTCTGTTGGCCAGGTGCTGTTTCTTGCCTTTTGGTGGGGTGCTTGCCTAGTTGTGCTTGTGGGGGTTGAGCTCTGACTCTTGGACCATGCCTTTCTCCTGTCGGTTGATGGTTGTGCAGTTTCCTGAGCCTCCTGAGCTCTGGCTCTTGGACTCCGCCTCTCTCCTGTTGGTTGATGGTTGTGCAGTTTCCTGAGCCTTCTGGGCTCTATTTTCTCTATGTTTGCTCCTGTGGGTGGAGTCTGCCTCCACCATGTAGCTTCCTAGTGCTTTCCCCTTCCTTTTCCCTCTGACATTGATCAGGTTCTTTTTCGTGTCTGTGGCTCCTTTGGGTACTCGGCTTCTTCCTGTGTCCCTTTGTGCATACGAACATACGAACAGGAACTGCATAGGGCCTATTGGCCCATACAAGGCAGCTTCTATTTCTTCCCACCCATTCCCACTCATATACATGTCCAACCCACGCTTGCACCAATCGTGGGACCCCACCGCCACCACGTTATGCAGTACTTTGTTCCATAAATCAACGAACCTGTTACAGTACCAGTATTTCCTCAAGTCTTTCCTAAATCTACTCTTATCCATTTTATGCCCATTGTTTCGTGTTCAAAATGTGCCACAAGGGTGGCGTGTGCCACTGTACCAGTTCTATTGTTACGTAAAGAATGGTGACAGTAAACACAAACACTAAGAGACTAAATATATTTGGTCGAGTATACCGAAGTCTGCAGGTGATACATTGGCGAGCAATGGTGTGAGTTGATGCACTGAGAGTCGGTACAGTATCTCGCAAGTGTCTGTTCTAGATCTCACTTGAAAGTAGTCTAGTTATTATTCTCTACTCTGCTGCTTATATGCTCGGGCAACACCTCACCATTCTCCAAAGGTTGGCAGGAACATTAACAGGAAGTAGGGAATGGTTTGAGTTCCATAATTAGTACTACAAAGAGCTTTGCTTCTCTCATTAGGCTAATGCATTTGGAGCGAGTATATTATTGGGATCTTCTACTCGCTACACCACCCTTGGTCACTGCTCCATCCTTGTTTCCTCTTCCTCGCTTGGCGGGAGTTGCGTCGATGGCTCCTAACAGGGGTGTTTGGTGTGTGTGTGTTTGGTCACCTTGCGTGAGTCTTCAGTGACTCCTTTGTCCATGTCTCTTGTTCTTTGTTGTCCTGTGGGGGTTCTGCCCCGCACTTCGGTGCTTTTGGTTTCGTTGTCGGCACCTGGGTCTTTTCCCTACCTGGACACTCATTCCTTTCCTGTCTTCGGTGCCTGGCTGTGCCCTGCTGTCCATGAGGTCCCTCGGGTATGTACGCCCTCCTATACACATTTTGTGGTTGGTTGTGTGCATTACTTCCCGGCCGCTCCTTGGTCCGTATTCGGGGTTTTCCTTACCTCTTTCTGTTCTTCCTCCTCCCATGCTACACTTGTTTGTGTATCTGGGTCGGTGCTTCTTGACTATCCTGATGTTGGGTGCTAGGGTGGGCCTCTGTCCATGTTCAGTTCCCTGCTTTTGGACTTCTCTGGTGTTCCGTTTTGGTACCGAGTTCCCACGGTTTTCTTTGTGATTTACTGCAGGCTTAGGTGTTGCGCTGTCTGTGGGGGGTTGTGGACTTTCAGTTCCTCGTTCCTGCCTTACTAGTTCCTTTTCTTGGAACTGGTAGCTGGGTTCAGGTCCTGGCTCCAGTTTTTATTTGTTCCTTCTCCAGAACGGGTGTGTTTGCTTTCCTGCGGTTCACGTCCTGCGTAGTTCTCCTTTTGGATGCGGGACGGGTGCGTCATTTTTCCCTACTGGAGCTGGTTATGTTGCTCCTTTGGTTTGCGGGGTCGTTGTTTTTCGATTTGCATTTTGTGCTTTCAGTTCGTGGTGCTAGTTTCTTGTCATTTGTGTCGGCACTGGTAGGTTTGTTATTGGTCTCCCACCTGCGTGTTTCGTCTCTGGGGGCGGTGTGTGGTTTTCCTGGCGGTCCTTCCGGATTTCCTATCACTTCGAAGGGTCCTTCGGTCTCTGATAGGGTTGGCTTGTCTTCCCTTCGGGGTTGTTCCGGGACCATCGTCTGGGACCACGTCCTGTCACCTCGTATTGGGTGGTGCTGGCGGAGCCGCTCCTGCTTGCGTTCGATGTTGCGGTTGCTTCTGCTCCGTTCTGCTTGCTGTCCTGGGCGTTGTTTCCCCTCCGGCCTGCTCTTGAGTTTTGGTGCTGTCCTGGTCGTTGGCCTGGGTGGTCTCTTCTTCTCGTTTTGGTCTTGGTTTTTAGGTTAGGGCGTGTGACGTCCGCCTCCCGGTTCCTTCCTTGTTTTCCTTATCTGTGGTGAGGTAGCTCCAGGGAGCCGACGGGGCTTCCCCCAGAAAACCAGCGTTGAATGTAATGAAACGCCATTTTCTGGGCGAGTTCCGGAGACTCTCCGGCATCCCTCCCTCCCTCCGGTTGGCGGCATTTTTCGCGTATTTTGACGTCCAGCCTAAGAACTGCCAGTTGGATCGCCAGCGTGGAGGGTCTGGGGCTCCCCCTTCCCTCTACCGGGTAGGGGGGGGGGGTTGCGCAGACGGTGGTGCGGCGACGCGATGACGTCATGCTAGTTTGATAATTTTGTGTGGGGGAGTTCTGTCCACTCGTTCGGCTTTCGGTAGCAATATTTTCACCAGAATAGGGGTTTGTTTTGGGGTGCCTACCTTTCTGGGTGC